TCTTTACTAGTCAATAGTAGAGGAAGATTATCATTCAGTGTTCTATTATTTAAATTACCTCTGTAAGTGGATTGTTTCTTAAAATATTTCTGTTTTCATCTTCCTCATTGGGAGGTTTTTAGACATTGGAAGATACAGAATCTTATTTTCACTAGACAATCTAATTTTCCTGTATTCAACGTCCAGTATACTTTGTGGAAATGCTTTGACAATTACATAAAGTTGGCTCCCAAATCCACTCCTGAACATTTAAATGGATTACACTAATTTTCAGAAGTGCTCAGCAGCTCACATTAAAGAAATATTTATTCCTGTACTTTCATTTCAGATTCATCTCTAAATAAAATAGCTTTATAACCTAGATCCTGCCTGTTTGTTTGTTTGTTTTGATGTGCTAGACAAAACTCCTGATAGAATTATAGGGAGACGACTGGCTCAGGATTCTTTTAGGTCAACCAACCATATCCAAATTGTATGACTTATTTTTCACATGGTTGAAATGGATATGGAAATTTTCATGGTTATGGCATGATGTTAAATCATGACATCATAGTCTTGCACTGAGCTGGGACTCATTTCATCTGGAGGGATAATGTAGTACTACCATATAACATTGGCTATTTTTAGCAGAGGTATGAGCCATATTCTCCAGGAGGTATAACTAGCTTAGTGAAAGAGCCATGCCCTGAAAAGTGAGATTAAACAAAAGCAGGAGGGAAGTACTTTGCAGATGATACTCTGCCAGACTTTAAAACTATATATGTATATATACATAAACCCCAAAGGAAATATTTATATTTCATTAGGCATTTATTTCTTCATTGTCATTAGTGTGTCAAAGTATATTCTACCAATAATATAAGCTAGAGATTGGCATCTGAGTGAGACAAAGTTCTGTTACTGGTTCTGCAGGGTCTGAATCTGTCAGCTAAAAAGTAACAATTAGGGTAGCACTCACAGATAGAGAAGGCATTAGAAGGTAAAGCAATGGAAGAAAGTTAGTTACATATGAATTTTATGTACTTTCTGATTCTCTTTTCATCCTCCAAGCTGTAGAGAACTGGAGATGGAAACCTAAAAAGGGTCTCAGAAGAATTATTTCAAACTGTGAGATGTTTCGCATTTTGGTTTGGCTGCTTTTATTGTACTTTAGCACAGTTAACTTGAAAGAACATGCAAAAGAGAAATCAACAGCAAGTGAAATGAGACTGAAAGCAGGAAACCCAAAGTAAGCATTATCTAAATATTTGATCTGGCAACATCTATATTATCTGCAAAAAGGTGCTATGCCATCCAAGAGTTGACTCTTCCTAAGGTCAAAATCCAGATCAAAAGTGACCAGAAATCTTTAAGTTGATCAAAAAGACTAGTAGTGAAATCAAATGATAGAATCATAGAATATCCTGAGTTGGAATTGACTCACAAGGATCATCAAAGTCCAGCTCCTGGCCCTGCACAGGACAACCCAAAAAATCATATCATGTGCCTGAGAGCATTGTCCAAATGCTTCTTGAACTCTGTCAGGGTTGGCACTGTGACCCCTTCTCTGGGGAGCCTTTTCCAGTGCCCATCAAGCAGGACTGTTAAATACACAGCAGAAACTATTCGTTTTCTTTGATGTAGAAAGGATTAGCCAGCCTCAAGAGAACTGGGGAAACATAAATGGCATCCATGAGAAGTCATTTTGCTGCCTTTGGTTTTTCCAGCTCATACTCTGTATTTTTGAGGCCCATGTGATTTCTCTTTTAAGGATTCACCATTACTAGTGTACTGAAATGCCTTATTACAGGCTCCTGAAAGAAAATGCGCATGAGTTGGACCTGTGTTGGACCTTGAACCTGAGGACCCACAGCCCAGAGGCTCACTCTGTGCCATGCTGCTCAGAGTGCCAGCAAGGCCCATGACCAAAAGGAGGTTTCCCTCCCTCCTCCCTCACTGGTACTGAAGTGACCATCTCGACAGTTCAGACAAAGCAGTATGAATCCTACCCATAAATTTTCTCCAAGTCTCTGGCCTTGATAAAACAGTTCAGTTTTCAGGGTTGTCTGCAGAGTCTTCTTTCTGCTGTTACAATTTCTTTCTAGAGTATCTTACTGTTTGTTCCTTATCTGAAAACTATTTTCTGTCTTTCTTCCTTGGTTTATTGTAGTGCTTTCTGTTGAATTAGTTCCATAGTTGTTGCATCCTCACAATCAATAGAGGAAACATATTCCTAAGAAAAACCACACTCCCTAATACAAAAACTGAATCAAGCAGGCTGAAAACTAAACATAGGATGTGAAAGACCACAAAAATTGTCTGTTCCACAAGTAGTCTGTGCTTGCAGTGGGGATATGTGGTAGGGCCACGGGCAGGAGGATAGATGATGTTTGCAAGATTATCTTCTGCCTTCTTATATAAGCCTGAAATCAGATAGGTGATATTGGTTTAAGGTGCTGTTGCACAAGGTAGGTTAGTTTGCTTAACACTGTGCTGGTGAAAACAGTGTTAGTCTCTCCATGTAAACAAAGTCAAAGGCAATCACTGTACAAACCATGCAACACTGAGCAAAATGCTACACTAAACAAAAGCCAAGCATAAATTTAGTGTGGAAAATTATGGTCTGGCATTTTTAGAGAAAGGTTTTGAATATTCTACTCTCATACAACACAACTGTCATTAGACAGTAGTAAACAGTACTAGAATGTATCAATGTTGAGAACTTGAGAAAATTGCATTGGAAAATATAGGGGTTGTAATCGTTTTTAATGAGAGTCTTCAAATATGACAGTGTGATCAGTAATAGTACTGGTACCAAAGAGTATTCGTCCTGCAGTTATCCTGTGCCATTTCATAATGACACATTCATATGGCAATTTCTTTGCCTACCAAACTGCATCCGAGGTTTTGAACCTCTCAGTTTTAGTTTCATATTGCGTGAGAGTTACTAAGATTACTCTTGGACGCACAGGCTTGCAAAAGAATGGCCTTCCAGCACCATTTTCTCTCCCATTTTCCCTCCAGCATCACTTCTGGCTTGCAGTGCTCACATGCTCTGATTACATCCCCAATTTACTGATACTGCAGTGGCTTGTTGCAACATATCTTGGTTTTGAAGCTGGGGAGTGTTTTTTCAGGGGAGGAGGGGGAAGCAGGGAGTAGAAGGTTGAGCTTTTACAAATGAGGCTCCCTTGGTAAAAAACCCTCGCCAATGTACACAATAGTCTTTGCCTGCATCAGACTTGCTATTACAGTAAAAGCCCGCTTGCTGACACCAATCATTCCTGTAAAATTTAAGGCAGCATCTTTGGGAGAAAAGATTTAATTAACACATAAACCCCAGAGTCACTATGACAATCTGCTTTCATGGTGATGGGAATTATCACATTTTTACCCGCTGTCAATCCTTGAAATATAAGGGTTTTATGAATAATCTATAGTACATTTTTTTCCTTGCAGAATCAATCAGATTCTTTTGTTACTTTCACACAAGAACATTTCTGTCTTAGACATCTAGAAAAACTCTAAATTTATCTGGTGCCTTGAGGGGCTACCTCTGCTTGTGTGACAGGAGGTCCCTTGAGCATTTTGGGTTAGAAGCATGAAGGGAGGCTGAGCAATTCCATCCTAACCAAGATCCACACGAGACATCCCATTATTTAAATAGTGGTGCCCCTAGGGCAGTGTATGCAGAACCCAGTGCAAAAAAAAACCCAAAACAAACAAAAAAACACCAAAAAACAACCAAAAAAGCCAGTGCTCATTGCAGACAATAAATAAAATAGTGGCAATGATTACCATGATGTAAAATTAGATTCAAAGACTTTAACTGTGAGACAGAAATAATGACCTTTGAAAAAGCTTTGAACAAAAAAATGTCCCCTTAGTCCAATTGAAAAAATTGTATCTAATACTACATACTTTCTTTTGACACCTTCTTCTCCTACCTGTTATATATCCTTGAAGGAAAAAATATAGAACCTTTTTTCCCCTGGGTTACATCAAAGTTGCTTCTGCATTACTGTGGCATAAGCTAGATTAGCTTGTAAGGTTTAATTTTATGATCTTTGGGGCTTTAACATTGTTGAGAATAAATCTATGATCACCACTTAGACAGAGAATGTTGCATATATTGTTTTCACTGGACATTGTTATACAATTTCTGTATCCTTTTATTTCCTTAATAATTTTTTATGTGGTTCCACAGTACTAAATTACATCTAAGCAAGCTATGATCTCTATATTAGGGTTGGAATGTTCTTAATGCATCTTTAGAGTCGTAACAACTCTAATAACCTGAAATTTTTGCAAATATAAATTTTGCATCTAGATAAGTGCTTTTTAAAATGATAGCAGTCTTCTTGTGTTAGGCTTGATTGCAACCTGTTTTCTAAATTAAAAAATGTAAATGTGGCATTGACAAAGGTTAAAAAGACTTAAAGGGGGTTCTGTCAGCAGTGTATGCACACACCAAGCTAAATCCTATGTATCTAATCAGTGTCCTCTGGACTGTGTGCCTTGCTCCATTGTTTACTTTCAAATCCATAATAATTTTGTATCCTTTCACTGGGCAAAGATTCATTTTAAAAACTAATGAATTTAAAAATATGCTTTTCCCTTGTCCATTTGATACCGAGCCTGCAATTTGACTTTCATTGTTTGTTTCCCTCCTTGTCTCGTCAATCCTTTTCTTTCTTTCTGTCCTTTTACTTTATTACATTTTTTATTGAGGACTGAGATGAACTGGTTCCTGCATCATGGGCCCATTACACTTCCTAACAATTCCATTTACACCTTATTGTTTGTCTTATTGCTGGAAAATTCAGGTGATTCATCATGCCTGAAGAAGCACCTGATCCCAATTCCCTTGATACCACGATCACTATGTGACAGGAATACAGTTAGTGGTGGCTTTCAGGCTCAAAGAGGCCAAGGTGATAACTCTTTTGGGACCTTTAGCCTCTCAAGTATTGATGAGTTCCATTTTCGTAATGTTCTGTTTTCTTGCTCCCTTTCAACAGCCCCCTGAGTGTGGAAAAGGGCTTGGAGTTAATAAAGGAAGTGGCAGATCTCCTGAAGCTGCAGATGAGTGTCTTCGATGATGTCAAGTATGTACATGGAATTTGCTCCTTTTTATTTGACTTGATTTCTCATTATTTTTGAATAGTTTGTCTTACGAGGAGATATGTGCTCTTTAATGCCAAAATTAATGAGAATGTGCAAGAGGCGAAAGAGAGCATTGTGATGATCTTTGTAACATTCCCTACACACAGGAACAAATTATTTTGAAAGAATTATAAAGACTGAAACTTTTCTGTGCTTTCATAGTGAAAAATAATCTGTTCAAAGTGCTGTAAAAATATTATCAACCTTATGTAAGAGCTTCTAGGTAAGGAAAGTCTTGTGAAGGGTCATTATACCCAGCATTGCCGAGGGGAAGAGTTACATCACAGATGAATAAAGAATTTGAGTCCCTGACTTTGAGTCTGGCACATGGCACCCTGGGTCGTGCTGCTTGGTCAGCTACTTTAATTTAAGAAGTCACAGGGAGTTCAACTATGTTGAGCTACTGTTTTTCCTCCTATGATTCATACTGATGAATGCTCTGCATGTTAATGTCATGAACTAGGAGGTTATGGATCTTCTATGTCCAGTAAAGAGCTTTAGAGTGGGGATTTTCTGAAAGCATTTTGGTAGGAACATTTACTTCACGAAACTTCATTCTTTCTTTATAAAACAGAAAATAAAAGTAGTTTGATATAAAAGGTACAGCAAAGAAGGGTGAGCTGTGCGAGGGTTTCAACAACTTGCTGGAAAGAGCCACATCTTGGGTGCACAGAAAATGACTGATGTCCAGGCAGCCTGTGTTTCAGAGGGCTTGGGGCTGCTTGCTTTGGCCCATGGGTTGGGTTGCTGAAATGCAGAGTCTTTCTCAGCCTCACCTGTGCTGACATCAGCTTTTGTTTAACTTTCAGTTGCAGAATTCATTGTTTAATGCTCTAGGTCATAGTGTGATGATGTTTCATCTTTAGTGGAAGTGTTTATTCTTAATTGGAAATAAAATTCTACCCCTTTTATTACTGTATATGTATGGAAAAATAGACTACTGGGGAAAAGAAATCTTTTTAGAAACCTGAAAAATACCAGATACATTGACTTTAATTATTGAGAAGGAAAATAATCTCATATTTGTTTGCTTTGTTCGATGAATGTTTTTTGTTGTATTTCATTAAATACATTTTTATGAAAACTGAGATTTTAAATTACAAATCCCGATGATATTCTATTATCTTCCCTGTAAAGAGAATTTGCATCCTTGACTTTGTACACTAGCAGATAAACTACTGCGCATTTAAAGGAGTAATCCCATGGAACCATTTGTCTGCTGGAATCAGCGGGTTCTGCATCATTAACTTCATTCATTTACAGTACAAGAGCACTTTCACCTACCTTTCTTGTTGTTATAGTAGTTTTGGTTATTTTTTATCATTTGATAAATCACAACAACATTGCAACTGGTAGACTGTAGATTCATTCTCTAATGAAAAATATCCCTCCAGAAATATAGCTAGCTATGATCAACCTTTTCTTTATTTTAATGTGCAAAATTAGGGAAGTCGGTTATTTTGCATCTATTAATATGCAGTGATATGACTGTACTGAAAGTACCTGTACGGTCAGTATCTTAAAAGTATGTTATGAGTTACAGTAACTCCAAACACAACTGAGAATTCTATTTGTACAGTGTTTTTATCTTTGCCTTTTTAAATGATCTATAAATCTGAGAAAGATTATCCTGAATCTCAGATTAGTGAGAATTCATCCATAATAAATTTTCTTTGTCCAAGAGAATGAGGCGTTTTGACTCAGGTTAAACTCATGAAATACTGAAGAAATGTGGAGCTGACCAGTAGAAATAACAGCAGTAGAGTCTCTAGAAAAAGGCCTTGCCAAGAAAAGAGTTAACAATTTTTGGATTTATTGTTTTCTTATCACTGCATCACTATCTGGAAAACAGTGTGATTTTGAGGACTCTGATTAGCTTCTGAGTGGCCTCATGGACAAGAGTTTCAGGAAAAACTTGATGCCATGTCATATCCACAGCTGACATATCAAAGTGTGAGGATGAGGTCTTTCAGAAAATATGTTTTCTATTTGAGCTTTGGAATCATGGGTGATTTACATTATTTTATTTCACTGGCAACTAAAAGTATTCTTTTTCTTAGAGATTCATTTTTTTAAAAAATGGGGGATTTATGCAGAAAAAACTACCAGTAAGGCTGAAGATGAAGGATTTATAAAAGGAGTGGGAATTTGTTGTACTAGCCTACTTTGAACTTTGACCTGAATATTTGCTTGGTCTAAAATTCTCAGTTCTCTCTTTTCTCTCCAAGAATTCCTAATGGTTTGAAAGTAAGAGTGCAGACTTGGATTTTTTTAGATCATTGCAGAGATTTCGGAGTAAAGACATGTTAATGAGGATAATGGGGTTAATTTGAGAGTGTAGACAAAGTCATCACATCAAACTGGAATAGTGTAAGAAGAATTGAGGAGAGAGGGCAAGTGGTGAGTTCTTTTAAAGCTCTTTAAATTCTCAGTTAAGAGTTTCTTGCCCTTTTCTCTGAAAAAAAATACATTAAAGGGACTTCTTCACTAAAAAATTACTGCCTTTAGTTAGTTTTGTCTGCAAATATCTTTCACTCTTCCCTATATATTGCTATGGATTCCTATCAATTCCCCCTGTTAGCTCTTGATTAGTTGATGCATGGTTGTAATCAGCTTATCTTATCTTCTGTCTTTCACAATCCTGACAGCTTTAACTGATAGCCTTCAATTCACAGTATAGCCTCAGGCTTGACTTCCAGAGCACTCAGTCCACTTCTTCAGCTGATTTGTTGCCAAGTTTGCATTGACATAAACTTTGCTCACCCTGGGAAGCAGATGAGTGGGAATAGATTTAGGGAATTCGTAATTAGAAATATTTCAACGTTGAAAAAAAGATCCAACATGTTAGTTGTCACTTTTGGACACAGCCTGAATCTTTATGGAAGTAATAGTTATGCTTAATATGTTTTGTTAATGGTTATGTAGCTGTCAAATAAATTCCATTATTTCTTATTACATCATTAGAGACCATTAAAAGGATATTAGCATGCTGATGTAATTATGCAAGCAGACGTAAAATGACTATAGTTATGATTTTATAATCTAATTATAGGTGTCCAATGCCCCTGGTGATTGATTGTTGGACTGGTATCATGGATTGAAGTCAGATGGGTAGTAATGTTACGAGGGTTTGTACCTATTTAAAAAAAAATATTACTTTCCAACCTGCAACATTGACCTTCTTCATGTAATTGCAGTTCTTCACATGTTATAGAATAGACTTACAAGCATGAGACTTTATCAAAAAACATCCAAATACAATAAAAATACCAAAATCTGTAAACTCACCTTTGAAGGTAGTAGAAAGGATGCTTAGAATTAACAGTCAAAGCCACTGATTAGAACATAGATGACTTATTTGGTTTCTGATGAGAATACAAATTATTTCCACATTTTTATTTAATGTTCTCATATTTGGGGTATTTACTGAGAACTTTGCTAAGGGGAGTTTTCAACTCTGGCTTAGCTGAAGACCTTTGTTCAGAAAGAAAACAGATTGTTCTGATTTCATCATATTTCAGACCTTATATCCTACCATTCTCAGCCTCCAGTTAAGAGTTAGATTTTCACTGAATATTGCATTCTCTCTAGACTGATATGATTTTCACAATTGCCATTGAAGGTCTTTCCCTCTAGGTGTCTCTTTTTTCCCCATTTTGTTCTGCTTTAACTTCCCCCACACATTCATCTTAATGGCATCTTTGACATTTTTGCCTTCTAATATACTTCAACTCAGTACTCAAAGAACTGTCCTTTCAGGAGATGTGATAACTTGACTAACGTTTCCATTTCCATATATAATTTTTCAGTGGAAAACCGGTATCAGAGCACTTTATATTCATTCCATAAAATTACATTAATCTCTATCTGCTGCTGTTGTTTTGAAGTGTAACAATTGACTATATGTAAGCATATAATCTAGATATATAATGTTGGGAATGAACAGAATACTTAGGCTGCATTTCAGATGGTAATATAAATAGATTTTTCAGGTTGAAAAAGCTGATTCTGGTTATCTAATATAATGTCCTGGATTGCAAAGCCATAACACTTAACCAGTCTTCCCCTATCATGAATGGTTTGTTGCACCTATATTATACATCCAAAGCTAAGTTAAAAGACCAAATCACTCATCCTTCAGAGTCTAAAACTCCAATACTCAGGATTAAGGTTGGTTGTTCAGCTTTCACCTGACAGTGCTCCCTACCCACACTGAGGCTACAGATAATTCAGTGTTTTACTTGAATAGTTTATTATAAAGAAAATGAAAGTTCAGGTAACTGAAGGTATGTAGGGAAACTGTATGAAGACTTCAGCTGAAAAATACCTTTAAAACTTTATAGCAGACACAGTAGTGTGGTCTGTGTCTTGAAAGGAAAATACTATAAATTCAAAGTAATGACTAGTTTCAAAATTTAACAGTTTGTCTTATAAGGAAAATGCTTTTATTTTAGTGATAACAATAAACAAAAATTTGACTTTGTTCTGAACTCAAGCCATTTTTTCTTAAATATTTTGTTTGTTCAGGTGACTAATCTTTTGAACAACTCTACTTATGATACAGTCCTGAAATATTTAGTCATATCTATATATTTTTCTGCAGCTATCTGTACTATCCACAGCAGAAAAAAGATTACTTGTTTAATTAGTAGCTTTTCAATGTTTCATTTTATTTTCATTGTTCAGTGTGTGAGTTCAGGTTTTATTTGTTGCACTTTATTCAAATTCTGCTTTAAGGTCAGAAACCCCATTTCCTTCTGTTTTGGTTTAGTTTTTTTCCTATGGTGTTCTTCAGTACACTATCAAAATGCTTTGACAAATGCAAAGCAATATATTTAACTCATATGAGATAAGGGGTTTTATTAGGACCACACATAGCTGGAGTTATGCATGAAAAGATTAGTGTCAAAGCATTTGCCAATACGAGGTGTCCAGTGTGATG